TCACCATAGCAACCTCCTGGCAAAAATCTTTGCACATCCAAAGTACAGGAAAATTTCTCTTTATCTGAACACCCCCCATGAGTCTGAATGTGTTCTGTCTTCATTTTCTGCTTCATTTCATTGTACTCCTTAATCACAGTTTTTTTCTGCCCTAAGTCCCAAGTGTCCTCTTCAAAAACTTTCCAGGAAAGTTTTGACCAGAAATAGATGCAGGATGCTGATTATTAGATCAGGCTCTGCCTATGACTTAGTGTTGAAGAGGAGAAGCCCTCATGTGGCATTCCAGACAGCCAGACCTTCTTAATAGTTGCTCTGGGCTTGCAGTAAAAACTCCTTCCATACCATGATGCCGTGATACTGGTTTAATGGGTACAAAAAGTTAACAGGTACAAAGAGATGACTTCTGAAGCACCCACCCTTGAAAAGTCCTGTTCAGTCCCATGCTTGAAGAAAGGCTCTTCATGCAAGAGTTTATGTGAATAACTAGAAACTATGCAGCTTGGATTTGATGAGACAAACAGTGCACGCCCAGCAACTTCCATGAATATGATCTGCCATAAGGGAAAGAAAACAACCTTGGCAGATGGTTGAGGGTGCTTGACTGTAAGTGGGTCTGTGCTGGTGCACAGTGAGAAGATGAGGCAGGAGAGGAGTTCCTGGATATGGGGCAGTTTGGCTAAGGGGTGCTGATGTAGTAGGCTTAATATTTTTTGAATGTGGCAATGACTGATATATTGCAGGAGGGAAGAAAGATACTTGTTGATCTTTACATTAGTGCTATATACTACAAATAGAGTCTAGACAGCTGGGAAAATGAAAACTAATGTCCTTTAGTGCAGTCACTTTTGAATCAGAAACAAGGGGAACTCTTCAGTTCAGTTGTTTCTTTCTAACTTGTGTTTTATAATGCTCCATGTTCTGGACTTTGCCCTGGACAAAACTTAATACAACCCTGTGACGTGCCGCAGGCTGGAAGCATAATGATTTGTTTCTTAAATGCCATTGCAAAAGTCAACAAATCATTGCTGGAGTAATAAAGAAGGTTGGGAGCAGAGATTTGTTGTCACAGCAGGTTTTCCAAGACCTAAGAAATGTGGTTTCAGAACAGAAATCTCTTGCTCTTCATTGCCTGACCAACTGAAAGCATCACAACATCCCACCTGGTTTCCTCTTTGTATTTGTCTTCA